TCCTTTTCCTTTTCCTTTTCCTTTTCCTTTTCCTTTTCCTTTTCCTTTTCCTTTTCCTTTTCCTTTTCCTTTTCCTTTTCCTTTTCCTTTTCCTTTTCCTTTTCCTTTTTTTTTTCCTGCTCTCTACCCTATAAAGATGCTCAGTCTGCAAAATTTATTTCAGCAAATACTTGCCTGTATTTCAGCCATTGGCTGGGGGGAGGCTTCCCAAATATTCTCACTTGCAGCTCAGTACCTCTCACCCACCAGTTCGCTAAACTTATTAGACCTTCTCAAAGTCTGCTTGTTAGAGTGCAGCTCACATGATGTGGGGACAGAAAGTATTTTCTCTTCTTTGTGTAGTATAAATTAGTGTTTGGGATTCTGGAGAACCAAGCTCAATTCCTTCACCCCAAAATGTTGGAAACAGGCCTGTGAACCACAGTGTCTCATAAATCACTACATGGGCAAGTTACTAAACAGAAATGAGCAAGATCAGTGAAGAAGGAATACTGTATTGTCTTTTAGGTCTGTTTGAAAGAGGACTGTACTATTCAGTGTTTACTATTATTTTCTTATTTTACATTAAACAGGGTATCAGGATCAAGAACAAATGTTTTCATGAGGTTTAAAACCACCATGAAGGAAGGTCTTTTGATGTGGAGAGGAGACAGTCCTATGCGACCTAATAGTGATTTCGTTTCTCTTGGCCTTCAAGAAGGAGCATTAATATTCAGGTAAACTACCACTTCCTTGTTTTTTTTGGCAGACAATGCACTTCACGCTCAAAGGAATCTCCACTGCATATCCAGCGCACTTGTCCTTTGGTACATTGTGGGACAATTCAGATTTCAAGGTTTGTTCAAAGATAGTCCAGTTCTTGTCTAGGCCAGCTTCACAGCAGTCATTCTTCCTCTCTTCCTACCCATTCTTAGAGCATCATCTTTTAAGTATTGAAAGTTATCCTGTGGTGGTAAAAGTAATGTAACTCCCCCCCCATGTCTATTGAAGTATTTGCTATTTCAATTAAGTAGAAAGATGCAGGGCTTGCAAACAAAACAGGTCAAAGAAACAAACCCTTGCTAGTGCCTGTGCTTACAGTGGACTTAGTCTTCATCAGACTCTTTGTAACTGACACTACCGACAAAACCACTTGTTTAAGTATTGAGTAATATTATCATCAAAAAGCTGAAACCAGGGAGTACTGGGAATTGACTGAAGATGTCTGCTGGCTCTTCAGAATTACTTTCTCCCCCACAGACACTTAGGCAGACTCAGTGCAAGTTTGTGCGTGGCGCTTTTTGTGACTCCTGCTTTTGAAAGCTGCATCTTTCCACGTGAGCCACTTTAAGATTGTGTAAGACAAATACTGAAACAGAAAACTACAAATTTCATTGTTGTTATGGATTATTATGAATGACTGTTGATTAAATTACAAATATTTTGTTAACCATTTAACCTAATTTGGAACTACCTTTTACTTGACTTCTCTGATTGTTCTTCACAACCACAGATACACAAACACAGATGCGTATTTCTATTTAAATTAATTTATTTAAAGATATTATCTTGTGGTTTCCTGTGGTTAACCATTTAATAACTCTTAGCTACCTCACTGTTTAATAAATTAGGAATTGAATCTGCAGAAGTGGTGCATTTTATGTCTTTGGGAGAGCCTGTCTTTCCAAGATGCTGGTTAGTAAGTGGCCAATCTGTTATGCCTGTTTTCTCAACACAGCGTAAATAAACACAAAGGTTTTACACTGAAGCTATTGTTTTGTTTTGTTTTACTGAGACAACTGTACTTATACATTTAGGAAAGATTAAAATTAAGATCTCAGATTGAAATTCATGCAAACCATCACTGTATAATTAAAGTGAGCACTGGAGATGATGAGAGGACAAATGTATAAAAAATGTATCATCTTTCACAGCAAGTAAGCCTCATTCTACTCTTGAAAAGAGCAGCTCATGACAGATTAGGTCAGAAGAAAATCATAGGCTTCATTTGGTAAGAAAGCACAAAGTTAGATATCTGTGTTCTGGTTTGAAATTCAAATACTCTTTTTTTTTCCCCACCCAAAAGGGATGGGTTCCCTGTTCAGTGCTGTAAACTCTCTCTGTTCTTCTGTGTTTCAGTAGGTTATACCTCTGTTTCAGAGAATCTCTGTTCATCAGGGATATGAATCTCATTTTATAACTAAGAGTATAACACTGAGTTATAAAGCTGAGCTTAGCAACAGCTGTATCTTCCTGCAGCACTCCTCCTCTGTCTGCAGGATGAGAGGAGATACTTGCTTGAGACACACTCAAGTCTTTGTGAGTAGTCAAATTTAGGTTGACTGCTTTGCTGTAGGC